CTGCTACTAAAAAAAAATTTTTTTTCGTCTGAGTAGGTTTTCTTTTTTCTTCTCTCCACCCCCTGCCCCCCACTCAGACGGAGCCTTGTTCTGTCACCCGGGCTGGAGTGCAATGTCATGGTCTTGCCTCACAGCAACCTCTGCCTCCCAGGTTCAAATGATTCTCCTGTCTCACCCTCCCAGGTGGCTAACATTACAGGCACCCGGCGAATTTTGTATTTTTAGTAGAGACGGGGTTTTACCATGTTGACCAGGCTGGTCTCGAACTCCTGGCCTCGTGATCTGCTCGCCTTGACCTCCCAAAGTGCTAGGATTACAGACGTGAGCCACTGCGTCTGGCCTGAGTAGGTTTTCTATACAGATTATAAATATATATATATATTTTTTTAAGACGGGGTTTTGCTCTTGTTGCCCATCCTGGAGTGCAGTGGCTTGAGCTCAGCTCACTGCAATCACTGCAATCTCAGGTTCAAGTGATTCGCCTGTCTCAGCCTCCTGAGTAGTCGGGATTACAGGCATGCACCACCGCACCCAGATAATTTTGTATTTTTAGTAGAGACAGGTTTCACCATGTTGATCAGACTGGTCTCAAACTCCTGACCTCAGGTAATCCACCCACCTTAGCCTCCCAAAGTGCTGGAACTGCAGGCATGAGCCACCGCGCCCAGCCTCAGATTATAAATCTTATCTAAATTTGTTTGACTCAGAATTTACTTCCCTATTATCACCTCACTCTCAGCTGTAAGAGCAAATATGTAACTTGCTACCTTTACAAGCCTTATAGGACCAGAAGTTGGAAAACTTTCTCTGTAAAGGGCCAGCTGGTAAATATTTTCAGCTTTGTGGGCCATACAATCTCTGTCACAATTACTCAACTCTGCCATGACAGTACAAAAGCAGCTATAGACAGTATAACAATGAATTAAGTGTGGCTGTGTTCAATAAAATTTTATTTATCAAAACAGGGGGCAGGTGGATTTGGTTCGGGGCTACAGTTTGCCAACCCTGCATTAGACAGGGCTGGACCTCGGGTATCTCACCTATCTGGTCTTTCACCACAAGTTACTCTCTTGAAGGAGTGAAATAGTATAAACAGTATAAAGTTTTTAAACTATTTTGTTTTAGCAAATGATTTAAAGTGTGGCTGAAACTCTTATGACAGTGTTGCAAACCTAACATGTTTTTGTTATTCTGCTACATTAAGAAATCTGAATACCTGGCTATTTTGGGTATATGTATATGTTAGAGCCCAGTAGCTTAAATTACAATTTTTAGCATGGTCATTAAGAGCAAAGTGGCTTATCTTATTGTTTCAATTTCTCTAGATGAAAGCTTGAGAGCATGTCTGGTATAAGAGTCTCTAATGGATCGATCTCAAGTTGCTAACTTCACACAATGTATTTTACATAATCCATCATAAAAAGTGAGAGGTAGAATGCTGAAGGACACAGGTGGACTACACTGACTAATCCACATTAAGTGATTTAAAAAAACAAAACAAAACAAAACAAAAACACAAAACAGAACAACTACTCTGGAGGACCGAACAGGGATTATTTCAAAGTTAAACTAGTTGCCTGATGAACCATAGAGTGTGCTCCACGGTCATTATGGCTACTTACTGGACCATTCTGTACACCTGGAGTTCTGTTTCCTTGGAACACTCCTTCTGAAGCGCTCTCTTCAGACCACAGTTCTGCTATAGATGACCATGATATGGAGATGGCCCCATGCATTTCAATAGAATGTTAGTTTTCTCAAAGGAAGACAGGGGGGAAATGTATTTTCTTAATGGAAATAAAACCCCTGGAACAGAGTAAACTGGTATCTATAAATGCCCATCTGTCACAACATAAAAGCACACTGTATTTATCATTGTCAAAGGCTACAAAGTACTTATTTTTCACAGCAGTTTGAAAGTAAAAATTCTAATTGAAGAGCTAACATTTGGACAGTTATGTTCTCATAAAAATGCTTGGATACACAAATAAGAATGTCCTGGTCTGGGAAGGCTAATTGAAACGAACAAAAACCCACTAACAGTAGCTGGGCTAGTCATAACCTGAAGAGAGTAAGAGTGTCACCGGGTGAAAATCCCATGGAAACCTAACAAGAGTTCTGAAGAAAAGTAATTTTTAAGAAGTAGTTTATACTACTTGGTATTAACTTACAAAAGAGAAAAAACAAACAAAAAGAAACCTGATAGTTTTTGGTTACTTTAAAAATCCATGAACTCTTCTGGGCCTTCTTATTTATCACCCAAACCTACTCAAATTTGTATAGGAAGCGATTCAAGACAAAATCGCAAGTAGTTTAAACTGTATTATCAGCACCATACATTTCTAGTAATGGTCTGAATTGAAATCCATGGTGAAAACAAGCTGACTGATTTACTCAGTAAAAGCAAATCATGCTTATGAACGAAGACAAGACTATGGTCTTAAAATCATCATTTGTATGTTGGTTAGTCTAGTTATCAAAAAAACCCCACAAATCATTTGAAGAGGTTTTCCCCCTCATTGCTAGGCCAGTTTTCTAAAAGACCAAAGACAATTTCTTGTCGAAACAGATTTTGCCACTTTAAATATTCACGTCCCATCATAATGTTCTCACCAATTCATGTGCGAGGGGAATAATTACTATCTGATGAACATGACAATTCTTAAACTGATCTAATGTATGTGGTGCCATGTATTCTTTGGAGGGGAGTCCTTGAATGAAAATGATGATTCTATCACCCACTATTGTTTTTGATGTGCCAGGTACTGATCTAAATTCTTCATTTATGAACTCATAAATTGGCACGTTCACAGAGGGAGAAAGAAGTTAAGGAAAGTGACTAAGATCATATAGCAAGTAAGAGCTGGAGCTAGGATTTGAACCAAGGCACTGACTCCATGGCTTATGCTTCTCAACACTATGCTAAGCTGCCTGGTGTATGTCTTGTTTTGACAAAGAACCAACTGCTGAACTTAAAGGAGGCATGTGGAACGCCTCTCCTTAAAATCCTTATTTTCTTAAAAATAATCTCTGTTAAGCAAGACTTGTTTTAAATGCTTCTGATTTTACAAAAGGCCTTAATATGTTAAAACTTATCTATGAGTGGCCGGGCGCAGTGGCTCACGCCTGTAACCCCAGTACTTTGGGAGGCCGAGGAGGGTGGATCATGAGGTCAAGAGATCGAGACCATCCTGGCCAACATGGTGAAACCCCGTCTCTACTAAAAAAATACAAAAATTAGCTGGGCGTGGTGGCGCGTGCCTGTAGTCCCAGTTACTCGGGAGGCTGAGGCAGGAGAATTGCTTGAATCTGGGAGGCGGAGGTTGCAGTGAGCCGAGATCGTGCCACTGCACTCCAGCCTGGTGCCTGGTGAGACAGCGAGACTCTGTCTCAAAAAAAAAAAAAAAAAAAAAAAAAACTTATCTATGAGTGAAGGATGATGGGGCCTAACCTTGTCGCCCAGGCTGGATCTCCAGGACTCAAGTGATCCTCCTGGCTTAGCCTCCAGAGTAGCTGGAACTACAGGTGTGCACCACAACACCTGGCTAATTTTTTGGTAGAGATGGAGTCTCCCTATGTTGCCCAGGCTGGTCTTGAACTCTTGACCTTAAACAATCCTCCTGCCTTAGCCTCCCAAAGTGCTGAGATTATAGTTCAGGCATCCCCAAACTTTTTACACAGGGGGCCAGTTCACTGTCCCTCAGACTGTTGGAGGGCCGCCACATACTGTGCTTCTCTCACTGACCACCAATGAAAGAGGTGCCCGTTCCTGAAGTGCAGCAGGGGGCTGGATAAATGGCCTCAGGGGGCCGCAGTTTGGGGACACCTGTTATAGATGAATTATCATGCCCGGCCCTATTTTTACTTTTAATTAACTTTTTTTTAGAGACAGAGTCTTTCTCTGTCACCCAGGCTGGAGTGCAGTGGCAAAATCTTGACTTACTGTACTTTCCAACTCGGATTCAAGCAATCTGCTCACGCATGCACCACTACACCTGGTTAATTAAAGAAAATTGGTACACACCTGGTCTATGTTGCCTAGGCTGGTTCCCAAACTCCTGGCTTTAAGTTATCTTCCTGCCTTGGCCTCCCAAATATTACAGGTATTATATGTATAAGCCACTGCACACCCAGGTGAAATATTTTATAATGCTACTAGTTGTTTGATACATTTTATTGAACCTTTTTCATTCTACATTTCAAACTGAATCAGTAACTATAAATGACACAGCTTTATTGAGTGCTAAGTACAGTAACAGTTACATATTTAACCTTTGCACATAAATTTAGGTTGAAAAAGATGATACATTAGCAAATAAGTACATATTTATCCCAATCTTTAAAAACTGTCATGAAACCTAGGATAAATGTATTGAAATTAGATTTCCTGGGCAGTACTAGAAATCTACAGGGCTAAGGAATATCACAAAGCGGGAGGAGACTACAAAAGGAGAACCTTGAGTGTGGTAGGCAGCACAGGCAACTAGGCTGTCTGTATACACGATCTGTGTAAGAAGGCTGAAGCTCTTTTCCATATTTTAGTTTCTTACACGAATGTTTCTTACATCCTGATTTTCTAGCAAATACAATTAAAAACTCCTCCTCAGAGGAATCTGTAATAAAATGTGTACTATCTGTGTTACTAGTTTAATAAAACATTATCCAAATAGCTAACCAATTTCTATTGTTTAAAATTTGGAGTAAGAACTTATTTTTTTTTTTTTTTTTTTTTTTTTTTTTTTTGAGATGGACTTTCGCTCTTGTTACCCAGGCTGGAGTGCAATGGCGCGATCTCGGCTCACCGCAACCTCCGCCTCCTGGGTTCAGGCAATTCTCCTGCCTCAGCCTCCTGAGTAGCTGGGATTACAGGCACGCACCACCATGCCCAGCTAATTTTTTGTATTTTTATTAGAGACGGGGTTTCACCATGTTGACCAGGTTGGTCTCGATCTCTCGACCTCGTGATCCACCCACCTCGGCCTCCCAAAGTGCTGGGATTACAGGCTTGAGCCACCGCGCCCGGCAAGAACTTATTAAAAACAAAAGATTATCACTGTTCCAAATATAGGCCAATATAACTGATTTGCAATATAGATAAACTCAATTTTGTGGGAGTTACATTTGGTTAAATCTGGCCGAGCCAACTTCTAAGCAAATGATTACGTGGCAGACGGCGAGGATCAGCTGATTCCCTTCCTCAGCTGAACTACGTCAGATCTTCACAGTAAGAATCTCTTTCTTATTGAGGCTCATTAGAAAAGGGTCCATCATCCATCCATCTGCTCACATAAAACCTGCTCCCTCCTGCTGACCCACTCTACCCCCACATTAAAAACTGCAAGGTAGTGTGCTTTTATGGCTTTTTCACTGCAGACCGTAAGTTTGAGTCGAATTATTCAATGTGAGGGTCACGGTGAGAGAACGTGGATCTTTCTTATTCTTGTGAACTGTGACCTTTCCTTTTAAGGTTTCCCCTGTAAAAGAAAGGCAAAAATTGTTAAGAATTCAAAGAAGACAGCATAGCAGAAAAGTAAATAATGTATACCTAGCACTTCTTTTAGTTATGATGTTTTACCACTTTTTAACTTTATTAATTTAAAATTATTATTTTTTGAGACAGAGTCTCTGTGGCTCAGGCTGGAGTACAGTGGTACAGTATCAGTTCACTGCAACCTCTGCCTCCCGGGTTCAAGTGATTCTCCTGCCTTAGCTTCCTGAGTAGCTGAGATTACAAGTGTCCACCACCACGCCTGGCTAATTCTTTTGTATTTTTAGTAGAGATGGGGTTTTGTCATTTTGGCCAGGCTGGTCTCAAACTCCTGACCTCAGGTGTTTGGCCTACCTCAGTCTCCCAAAGCATTACAGGTGTGAGCCACTGCACCCAGCCCTGTTTCATTAATATAGAATGAAGCAAGAACTAACCACACACCAGTGTCAAATCCTTGTGAAAGAGAGTAAAACTACCATGGTCGTGCAGGGTCAAAGGAAGCATTTTACTGAAACTCCTGAATATGAGGCCCTATGGTAGGTTCTGGGCATCTAGAAAAAGAGGTCCCTGCCCTCAGAGTTTGTGATTAAGGGTGAAGAAAAAAGCTATACTAACAATTACACAATAGGCATGTGTCTAAAGTGTGTTGGAGGTGAGCACTGGGGATGGCTGGAAGGCAGTTAAAGGCAAGGTTTCACAAGAATTAATGAATTATCCGTGGCTGGGGATAAAGTCATGGTTAGCCAGGCTTAAGGAATGTACATGTAATGGTATTTAAGGAAGAAAAAACACAGAACTTTCAGGAATGGCATTTTGAGGTACTGAAAATTATAGCCGAGAAAATGTAGAGGCACGTGACAAGGCCATTGGCCAATAATGTACTGGTGTTGTAAAAGGGAAACAACTTACACATGTCAATTAACACAAATAAATCACTTATCTTTGCAAAGGCTGATCTCCTAAATTCTGTATCTTCCAAATTTTATCGTATTCCAAAATGTAATTATCTTTGTACTTTTCTAATTATAAATACTTAATTTTTCATTTATTTTAAAGAGCTGTTTAAAAAGTAACAAAAGGGCTGGGCTCACACCTGTAATCCTAACACTTTGGGTGGCTGAGGTGGGTGGATTATGAGGTCAGGAGTTCGAGACCAGCTTGGCTAGGATGGTGAAATCCCCGTCTCTAGTAAAAATACAAATAGCCAGGCATAGTGGTGGGTGCCTGTAATTCCAGCTACTCAGGAGGCTGAGGCAGGAGAATCGCTTGAACCCGGGAGGCACAGGTTGTAGTGAGCCGAGTTCACACCACTGCACTCCAGCCTGGGGGACAGAGTCTCACTCTGTCCCCTACCCCACCACAAAATAAACAAAAAACTGCTAAGTTGTCTTTGATCACTATTCCTTGCTTAAATAATATAAAGATAACACCAAGTAGAATCAGGAATAGCTTTAGTATCTGGATGGACACAATGAGGCTCCATATAATGACTGAGGAAATCTATGTAAAACTATTAAAGTACTGAATCAATATTGTATGTTTTAAAAATGCAAATTCCCCATATTCAAGGAAAATTATCTGAATGCTTTTCAAGATGGTAGTGAAGTAACACAAGTAAAACATAACAAACCACCTAATAGTTATGTTTTTTCAGACTATAAAGATTGCATTACTGATACATTCTCTGCATTTTGCAAAAAAGGTGAGACTCATAGTTTAACACAAAATTAAGGAGTTGAATAATAGAAGAAATAACGTGGCCCGAGGGGCAATCCACTCAACAAAAGATAATTTTTGTGTAGGTGCATGTTAATGTGTAGATTTGGGTTTAGCTTTTATGCCGGGCCTATTCCTCTATTTTGTTAAGAAAATAATATAAAACTATCTCATTATAACATGTTCACCGATAGTGGACATTGTTCAGATAGTTCAATAAACTTTATGAAGTTCAGGTTAATCATTAGATAATTTATGCTTACATTTATTCAATACATTGCGCTAGACTCTATTCTAAGGTCTTTACGTGATTTAGCTCACTAATGATCACAAGGTATTACTATGAGGTAAGTGTAGTTTCCTTACTCAAAGATGAAGTTCAGAAAGGGTATGTAATTTGCCCAAGGTCATACTGCCAATTAGTGAAAGAACCAGGATTTTAAGCAGTTTAAGTCCAGAACCCAAGCTCCTCAATTGTACTCTGGTACGTCCCTATCGCCATTTAAAAAAAAAAAAAAGATGACTATAGCTTTAAGTATACTATAACGAACAAGAAATGGCCTAAATTTTACTGCCTTGTGGTCGATTATTAGTATATTAAACACATTTAAGATTTTTCTATTTTGACTTTTCTGTTTTGGCTGTTTAACTGCTTCTTCTTTAATCAACATTTTACAACTTCTGTTTAAGTTATTTATTGACATTACGACTGGAAACAAACAACCACATGATGATAAAATGACATTGTTTTTGTAAATACATGACAAAGAATAGTAATTGCCAACTTTGTTATCAGGTTTAACTTCTGTTATTGAATTGCCAACACCGAATCAACAAGCTTGATTTTTACAACACAGTGGCTTGTTCCTTTTTATTCATAAGCACTATGTCCTATATAAAGTACTTAATTTAATTGCTGGTATTAAGTAGTTCATATATGAAAAGACAGATAGTGTACACTTGAGATTCAAAATAATAAAATGACTTCCACAGACTCAACATAAAATAAATACTCTAGATGTCCTAGTCAGGATGTTAAAATGTGGAGGAAAAAAGGATATAAATTGTGGGATGGTGAGGGGGCAGGAATTAAAGTTTTCATTTGCATACCACATGGTTTTATACATAGAAAATCCTATGGCTATGCAAGAAGGCTACTAGAATGATTTATTCAAGTTTAAGGAAGGTCTTATGATTTAGGATCAAGATATAAATCTAATTCTACATGCTAGCAATGAAGAATTTATGTAACAGCATATACAACAGCTTCAAAAAAGCATAAAGGCTGAGTGTGGTGGTAATGCCAGCACTTTGGGAGGCTAATGTAGGCAGATCACTTGAGGCCAGGAGTTCAAGACCAGCCTGGCCAACATGCTGAAACTCCATCTCTACTAACAATACAAAAATTAGCTGGGCATTGTGGTGTATACCTGTCGTCTCAGCTACTTGGGAGGGTGAGGCATGAGAACAGCTTGAACCCAGGAGGTGAAGGTTGCAGTAAGCAGAGATCACGCCACTGCACTCCAACCTGGGCGACAGAGTGAAAGTCTGTCTGTCTGTCTGCCTCTCCCTCCCTCCCTCCCTCCCTTCCTCTCTCTCTCTCTCTCTCTTTCTCTCTCTCTCTCTCACACACACACACACAAATACTTGAGATAAATCTAACAATATATGTCTGACTTACATAAAACTACAAAACAACTCACACTCTGCTCATGGGTGAAGGACTCAATGTTGTTAAGATGTCAATTCTCCCTAATCTATAGATTTAACGAAATCCCAATCAAAATCCTAGCAGTCTTTTTTAGGGTAGAAATTAATGAGCTGGTTTTAAAATTTGTATGGAAATAACAAGGACCTAGAATTGCTAAAACAATTGTTTGTGTATATCTTGCCATTTTTTTCTTATTGAATCTTATAAAGACTATCTTAAAGGCATAAGGACATATATACAGATCAATGGGAAAAATGAGAGCTCAGAAGTAGATTGATATACATATGGTCAATTAATTTTTGACAAGGGAGCCAAGGCAATTAAATTGGAAAACGATAGTCTTTTTAAGAAATAATGATGGAACAAGTGAACAGACATTTGGGAAAAGATGAACTATTATTAACTTTTAAATTTAACTCAATTAGATGACAAACCACCCAACTTGAAATCAAGCAAAGTATCTGAGCAGAAATCTCACAAGAAGATAAAAAAATGGCCAATGCATATATGAAACAATGCTCAACATCACATCAGGCAAATGAAAACTAAAAGCACAGCTATAACTACATACTCAATGAAGTGGCTTAAATTAGGATACTGCATCTTTTTCATAAGTGTTAAAAATGAGGTGGAACAACTGAATTCACTGAATTCCTAGTCCTAAGAATGTTAGGTAGTAATTTTTTAAAAATTTGTCAGTTTCTTATAAAGTTAAATATACACTTAACCATAAGACCAATTCTACTTCTAGGTATTTACCCAAGAGAAATGAAACCATCTGTCTGCACCAAGACTTTTACATGAATATTCATAGCAACTTTATTCTTAATGGCCCCTAACTGGGAAACAATCCAAAAGTCCAACAGCAGGTGAATACCGAAGTAAATTGTGGCATGGCCATACAAAGGAGCATTATTTGGCAATAAAAAGGAACAACCTAATGATAGATGAATCTTAGAAAGATGCTAAGAAAAATCTTTTTGGAGTGATGGAAATAATCTATATTTCTACAGTGGTGTATATAATTTTCAAAACTCATTGAGTTATAGAATCAAAAAGTGTGAATTAAATGTAAATTATTTGTTTACAAATGGGGTGCCTTAAGAATAAACACAGACAAATGAAATGTAGTACAGAAATCAGATCAGTTATGGAGATTCAATACATAGTAAGTGGGGCATTTTAAGTCACTGGGGAAAGGATTCAATAAATCATCCAAAAATAGTAATATATTTGAATTGAATAAGATAATTGAATCCTTTATTTTAAAGGATGAAGCCAAAGTCAGAAACCAAAAGGAAAAGGCTGACAGAAATGTACCCCAGAACCTAAAGTATAATAAAAAAAAAAGTTTGAGATGATGGACATGCTAATTATTACCGTTATTTGATCACTTTGCACATATCAAAATATGTACCCCATGAATATGTAAAATTAATAATAAAATACTGAAAATTAAAAAATGAAGAAAATTCTATAAAGGAAGATAGTTTAAAGAAAGAAAAACAAATTAAAGCAGTTTTATTTTTCACTTCGTGCAGCAAGTATTTTTTTTTTTT